GGGGGGGGGGGGGGGGGGGGTTTGCATTTTGAGAGTTTAAGGTGAAGGAGCTAGAGTCGTGTCAGGTTCAATTTTGGAGCTTTTGAGGGTCTGGGACTTTCGAACATGGTGATGTCTTTGAAGTCTGTTCTTAAGGCTTTGTTTTGAAAGGCTCCAGCGCTTCACTATAGATGTGCTCACGCCTTTGGGTTCTCGTGTTTAGTCCGAGGGCCCTCTCTGGTAAAAGATCCGGGTAGTAGCCTTCAGCCTCTCGAAGTGCATGCATGTACAAGGTTAGCCATTCTTTGCGGCTCGGTGGGTACCATCTTCGATGGGATCCTATTAATTTACATGGCTTCGGCATAGGGCCCAGCTTATTTCCTTCTGGATGAATGATGGTGTATGGCTTGGTAGGGTTGTGCCAGGGTTGGGTTTGCCAAGAGGGATTTAGCAGTTCAGGGCTTTGGGGTTTAGGGTTTTAGGGTTTAGGGTTCAGGGCTGTGAGTTTAGGGTGGAAGGTTTAGGTTTTAGGGTTGCCCTAAACCCTAAACCCTAAACCCCTGAACTCTAACCCGCAAAGGGTTTAGGATGTAGTGAGAGCTTGGAGGCGAAGGAAGGAATCTGTCGATGCATTACGGCGGTTTCTACTAGTAAGGGTTTAGGACGTAGCAATAAGTTTCGAAGAGAGGGTTGGGAGTTTGGGGTTACGGCAAGGACCTAGTTGAAAGAGGTTTCGGTTTGCTTCATCAAAACATATGGTGGTGCGGCTTGGGTTTCGGGTTCTGTCGAGAGGGCATCAAGGATATAGGCAGTTCGTTGAAACAGTTCCAAGCTTCCAAACCCTAAACCCTAAACCCTAAACTTCCAGATTCCCAAACCCAAAGCCCCTCAAATCTTCCAAAGGCAACCTCCTAAGGCTACAACGCATCATCCAGTCTCTGAAAAGCCCGACAAAGCTTTCTTGGGTTTAGGGTTTAGGGTTTAGGGGTTTAGGGTTTAGGGTTTAGGTTCTTCATCCTATGTACAGACATGGAGATTCCTGACAAAGAGCTAGTTGTTCGGATCTCTGCAGAATCCCGTATACTATTCAGGCCCCTTTGATCGAATTGGAAGATGGGCAGAGCCTACCAACATGAGACCTATAGACCTTTTTCTTTACATCAGGGGCCTGAATAATCAGAATAGGGTTTTGGGCTCCTTTATAGTATTATGATAATAGGGAGCCCCCCAAAAAAGTATTGGTACTTATTTAAGCCCCCACTTTACATCCTATGTTGTAAACCTGAACTGGCAACCCAGAGTGGCTTCTCCCCAGGCTGCACGTGGGTTTAGGGTTTAGGGGTGTTTGGGTGCCCCTTTATGACCCTGAATCTGAGCCGTGTCCTTTTTAACGTAATTTAAGCTACCAAGATAGCAGCTTCAAGTTTTAAACGCAGTAGACAGCTTCCCTTGATTCCAGAGGCGCCGCGATGCCTGCGCCCCGAAGCCCTTAACCCAGAAACCCCAAGGTTTGGGGTTTAGAGTTTAGGGTTTAAGTTCCCGAATCCCCTTGACCCTGATCCTGAAAGGTGATAACAATGGATGAATTAAGCCGGGTACCGTTTCAACGCACCCGTAAGCCCTCAGTTCGAAAGTAAAAGTGCAGCATCCCTCAACCCTATTTTCGCATCACGCAAAGCCATGCAGACACTTTTGGCATTTAGAGGTTTCTAGGGGGTTTTCGGTTTACGAGATTCAGGGTTAGGGGGCTGTAGGACTCATAGGTTTTAAGGCGGCTTACAGGGGTTAGTCTTTAACCCTAAACCCTAAACGTCCCTAAACCCTGCCAGGGCGTGGGATGCTGGGAGCACTGCAAGTTCGAGCCTCTCGGCAGACGTGTGGAGCTTTCTTCCTGTTTCCTTATGGACGAGCTTGCCTATGTGTTCTATGTCCGAGACATCAGAATTGAAAATCCCCATACAATAAACCCTAAGCCCGCAGCCCGCAGACCCCCGTTTATGGAACCCGCTATTTCGCCGTGTTTTGGGGCTTCGAGCAGTTAGCGTATAGGGTGTCGAGTGGTTTCGGTGCTCGGGGATTTAGGGCTTCATCCGCTGAGGGGCTTGACGGGATCTGGGTTTCGGGGGCTTATAGGGCTTAGGGTTGTCGGTTAGGTTTAGGTGCACAAATGTGCTCGCAAGAGGCATGTTCCAAAGCATATACAAATACCTTTGCACACGCAGAAGCATATAGATGCACGTGCATTCAGAGGCTCACATGCACTCACATGCAGTCACATGTACATATGCAGCATATACAGCAGATACGCAAAAAGAGATGCATAGACATACACATCTGCATGTGCATGTACATACACATATAACTCAATACATGTGGGACTCTGGCAACGCCAACCCTGCAGCCTCCAAGTAATCTAACCCTAACCGTAAAGCCCTACCATAAACCCTGAAGGTAAAAGGAGCTTAAGCAAACAAGTAGAGCACAAACATTAAGCCTGGCCCTTTACCTTCCTTGTTTCCACCCCCCCCTCCCCCCCGCCCCAGTTTGTCGACAGGTATCCGATTGGGACGCTGAGCCAGTGCTGGAAGGAAGATTGTCCCAAAGGTTGGTCGGAGGCCACCCCACCCAGACTTTCGAGTCTGTAGAACTTGGTCTATGGGCTTTGAATGAATTAGGGTTGCACGGCCGACAGACTGAGTCCGCGAGAGAGAGAGAGAGAGAGATGAATTAGGGTTTACGGGACTTTCGCAAGCTTGCCTTCAGCCCTAAACCCTTTTTTACATCAGGCTTCCATGTCGCGCCTTGCTGTGTTGAAGACCCTAAAGCCAAGCCCTAAACTTGGATGGGCAGAGGCCACGTTCTCGAGAAGGATCCTCCCCGGTTACTTTAGATCATGTGGTTGGGGGTGGTTTAGGGGAAAGGGTTGGGGCTTAGGGCGTTTAGGGTTTGGGCTCAAGGCAAGGAGTCCGGGATGCAAGGGGTTTTGGGATCAGACGGTTTGGGGGTGGAGGGGGATTATCCTAACACCCTAAACCTTAAACCCGAATGAAACCTAGCCAGAGTTAAACCCTAAGCTCTAAACTCCCCAACGAAATCCCGTACTAGTATTATGATGATGATGATGATGATGATGAGATGACTTGTAGTAGCAGTAGTAGTAGTTCCCCAAACAGCTT